AAGAGGGCATCGATTTATTCTCCATAGCACCTGAGGGTAGGACAAGAAGCAATGGGTGGAATCTCATCAGAGGGAGATCCAACCTGGAAATAAGGAGTATTTCTTGATGGTGAGAACTATTAAGCAGTGGAACAGCTTGCCTCCCAGAGTTGTGGTGCTCCATCATTGGAGGTTTTCAAGAAAAGATTGGACAACCATTTGTCTGAAATGGTATAAGGCCTTGGGCAAGGGGTTGGACTAGAAGGCCTCCAAGGTCCCTTCAAACCCTATGATTCTATGATTCTAAATGAAGGCTATATGAAAATAGGCAATTCATAGGTCAAAGAGTGCAAATCAGTTTCTGCATTAAAGAAAAGGAAGGACCTATGAAATGGAAATAATTTGAAATTTCCAGTAGGTGATAAAGCTCAGATCTTAGAGACCAAGAATGTAATACAAATCATCTTTCTCCAGTATCCTGAAGTACAGAGAGCAAAAGCTTCCTCCATTTTGATCACTTGGCATCAGTTCTATAGCAACCTTGAAAATGAGTTGGATTATTTCATCAAGGACAGCAATAGAAGGAGTGAGGTTCTAAAATTGCATGGTATATCCTCTTGTAACAATGGTGACTACCTAGCAATCTGAACTTGGCTTGGAAATTTATCTCAGTTTGTCTTGAAACAACAGACTATAGTCCTGGAAATGGAAACTAGTCAAAATCAGCATTAATACTTCTCCAAAAAGCCTGTCTCCCAAAAAGAGTAGTCTTGGAAGAAAGAACAGGGTGGCTACACCCCTACCCCAAAGTTTGGTATGAACAGGTGGAAGCATTATTTAGTCCCAACTATTGCCTAGAACAGGAGGGATGGAGATACCAAAGACGATCTATTATTTAATAAACTTCCCCTTTCACAGAACAGTCTCTAATACAGGCTCAAACATCTGATGGACCAGAGAATCATCACCAAAGAAGAACACCAATACAGCCACAGCCATCACAGCAGAATCGATATTATGGCTTTTGTTTGGATAACTGGTTCCCCTCTTCACAAAAAAACAAATTGTACTGAAAGCCATTTATCTTCAGGTGAATGCTCAAAAGAAAGACTATTTTCTCCCAGAAAAATTGGCAAGTTGTCATACAAGCTTGGTAACTGGTAACGCACATCCCAAGCTGCTGTGAATAAAAACATCTATATCCCTTCTTGTCAATGGGAGCAGATGGCAGTCTAGTGTGCAACGTACTCTATGGGGTTTCAATGGTGAAAAACTGGGTAGGGGATTATAACTATGTTCCCAAACCTTTCTCTGTTCTAGTATTTCTGATGTTCGGGGAACAGAAGCTGAACTAGTCCAAGTTTCCTTACCAACCTGCAGAAGAGCTAGAAGTAGAAGAATGACTACTAGTACCAAAGCATCACTTCAAATTCTGCATACTGGTCCATAAAGCAGCATAAGTGATTGATTTATACCTAACAACCCATGCTACCAACCCACATAACCGCTCTGAATAAAGATGAACACCTTTAGTGTCCACCTCCCACTGGATCTGAAAAAGAAGTAGAGGGCAGAACAGACAATGCAGATTTCAAGTCTGACCCATAGTCCTCCAGATCCACGGGTTTGAACTGTTTCCTACCATAACCTGAAGTTCTTTATCTCATGGGTCTGAGCAGACTGCAGCATTAAAGGGTAAGTAAGCAAGACTAACCAAAGAGTGGAAAGCAGAGGGTCCAACACCAGAGGAGGAAGGACCCAGAGATGAAGCAACTTCATCTCTTTTGCCTTCTGTAACACATGCTACTTTTACATTTCATTTGGTTTACTGACAACAGGTTTAGATTTGCGGCATTTTACCTTACCTTACTACCATAGCCAATTCATTTGCTTGAGAAACAATTCAGAGATCATAAACTACTTAGCCCATTTCAGTGCCAAGACTCAAACACAAGGCAAGTATGGGAGAGGGAAAAAGAAACAAATGCTGAGGTTAAAATGTCAATTTGGCTTCAGCGAAAGAGAAATTCTTCACTATGTTGCCACAGTGGCAGCTGGAAAGGAATTGAGTGAATTCGACAGGTTTAGGCCCTTTAAGGGACAGGATTCCTGCCAAAAAACTCACTGCTTTGTGCTCATGTGATGCACAGAAGCCACAAAGAATATGTTCAAGATGCTAAAACACAGCAAGCACCAAACATACACTGTCAGGAAACTATGGGGGAAGACTGAAATGGGGAGACTCCCCCGCCACAAGCTTACCGAATGTTGGCAGCTGTCTCCCAAGCTGCCTTTCTCTCCCCGTACAACTTTCATCAGGCAGTGCAGAGTGCGGCCCTTTCGATGCAGCCCTGAGCAGTGGTGCTCGATCTCAGTGCGGCAACCAAGGATGATTTCTGGGCTCAGAGAGAAATCCTCCATCAGCATCCGCCTGTAGTCCAGCATTTCTCCCTGGCATTCGCTGCTTACCTGCCGACCTAAGGTAAGTCAGAGGAGATTCACACTATGTGGAACGGAATCCCAGCAATACAGCAAGTCATTCTGCACCTAAGGCTGCTGAAATGGCACATTGAAAGAACTGCTCTAGCTATGACTCGTGTATTACACAGACACTTTTGTTGCAATAATTGGGAAGGGATTTTCCATCTGGAAATTTTACACTTGTTTCGGCATCAGTAGCTTTAGAATTTCCAGACTTAAGCCTCTTCCTAACAGAGGGTTGCTTTAAATTACAGAGATACATATCCAAAAACATTTGGGGGGGGGGGGGGGGAGTCTGCCATGTCTTTCACTGAACATACCAAGCGAACTTTCATTGTCTTCACTGGAAAAAGTGTATGAAATTTTAGATTTAGTTACCGGAAGGACTTCCTGTAACTGGTAACTACTGCTCAATCCTGCACTTTGGCATGGGTGTGTTTTGGCCAATTCTTCTTTACAGAAGTTGTTCGACTCATTGATATTTTGGGTCTGTCTTACATGGCTGCCCATGTCACATTACACTACAACATTTCAGGTGGGTTAAAAGTCAGGGCTTTAACTTGCCCATTTCAAAGCACAAAATTTCTTTTGGCCCAGCCAACTGTTAGGGATTTATTTGTGCATTCAGAATTGTGGTCATGCTGCATCACTTACATCTGTTTAAGCTTCATCTCACAGAAATATACCCTGACATTCTCCTATAGAATTTGCTGGTATTATCCAGAATCAATTGCTCACTTAGCCATTGAGAGCTGTTCAGATCCTGAGGCTGCACAGCAGCCCCAAGCCATGATACTCCCACTATCATGCTTCATGGTTGGATGAGGCTCTTTTATTGAAATGCAATGTTTCATTTTCTCCACAGTGTTTCTCATTAATGCTCAAAAGTCCCACTCCAGTCTCATCTATTGACAAAACATTGTTCCAACAGCCTGCTGGATCATCCAGGGGGTCTTTGGCAAACCTGAGACAGACAGCAATGCATTTTCTGGAAAGCAGTGATTTCCTATGCACACTGTTCTTCTTCAGTGTTTTTCTGGTGGTGGACTCATGAACACAGAGGTCAGACAACGCAAGGGCCAGTAGATCCTTTGTCATCACCTTGGGGTTCTTTGTAACCTCGCAGAGTATTGGGCCCCTTGCTCTTGGATGATCACTTCTGGGAAGAGAAACAAGGGTCCTGCTCCATCTGTACACCATCTGCCTGACTTTGGATTGGAGGCCAAAGTCTCTGGAAATTGTTCTGTAGCCCTTTCCAGCCTCATGAACGTCACCAATCCATGTTCCAAGGATCACAGAGCTCTCTTTTAATTGTGGCATGATTTATTGCCACTAATCTGCCATATGAAGAGCAAGCTCCAAGGAGACAAGCAATTTATGTCTTTTTCTGAAGGGAAAGAGTTGTTCGAACTTACACCTCAAACTTACAATCATCTTCTGATGGATAACTTCACATACTTTCCCCAACAAAGACAGTGAATCAAAGTGTTCAATGAAGATACCTGTTTAGTCAGCTTCTCTTTATCTATTAATAAACTTTAGATTAAGCTCTGGTTGTTTTGTAGACCACAGTGCTGCAGGATTATGGATAATTCTATAGCAGTGTTTTTCAAACTTGACAACTTTAACATGTATGGACATCAATTCTCAGAATTCTGGGAGTTGAAGTCCACACATCTTAAAGTTGCCAAATTTGAAAAACACTGATTTAAAGGATTCCGTCACCACTGTACATATTAATTCAGGGGTAATCAGGTTGGCTCCAAATTAAATTCAAAATATAAAACTGGTTTTAATACTCTTATAGCCTAGGGCTCAGTCTTCCTAGAAAGGCTGATAAAAATGTTTTGTTGACCAATGTCAGCGTCTGACCTTATGTTTTTACAGAGAGTCCTTGCTTACCGCCTGCCTCATTTGTGACTGTTTAAAGTTACAGCAGTGTAAAAGGGAGTTTTGCAACCAATTCTCGCATTTACAACTGTTGCAGCAACCCACAGTCACATGATCACAATTTGCATGCTTCCCAACTGGCTTGCAACAAGCAATTAATGAAGAAGCCAGCAGTAAAATTGCAGGTCATAGTCATGTGATATTTCACTTAGCAACCATGGTGATTCCCTTATTGACCAAATGGGAAGAGTAATGTCCTAAGTCCATTGTGGTCACGTGATTTTCTGCTTAGCGACTGCGACACTTAACAACAGAGTTGCCAGTCCCAACTTGCTAAACAAGGACTACCTGTAATATGAGGCCCTCAAATGAAATCAAACACTGCAAAAAACCCAGAACATTCTGGAAATGGATCACACTGTTTGGCACACAACTAGGGGCTTCTGCTTTTATCTAGTCTAGATGCTTGCCTAAGTGGACTACATGACACCACAGAGGTTTGCTTCACTGCTTTTCAAGAAACGGAAGGACAGAGGCATTAGCCATCTAAATGGAATATTTCAGCTGAGTGCACAAAATGTCAGAAGACTGTCAAACCTTGCAAGACTGACATTATTTTCAAGAACTCAGGCAAAAATACTGATTTTTTTTTTTTTACATTTCAGATGCTTCACTTTTTTAAAAAGAATTATTATTTAATTTGGGGTTTTCTCCAGTGCCATCTAAGGGTTTTGCATGCATCCCATTAACAAGTGTTCCACCCAGAGATATCACACCACTAACTCTTACCGCAAGTATCTGCGAGAAACACAATCAGGAAGTTGAATGAAAGCCAATTTGGTCTAGTGGTTAGGTCTAGTGGTTAAGGCCCCAGGCTAGAAAGCAGGAGATGGTGAGTTCTAGTCCCACCTTGGGCATGAAAGCCAGCTGTAATTTCCCCACAAATGACTTTTCTCCCAACTGCATCTTCTCATTTAAAAAGAAAGTAAAAGCATTCCATTACTCAAGCCTACATTTTACAACAAGTTTAACCCAAACAAGCTAGTGAGGGAACAGCAACAGGGATGAGCACTACCTCTATGCACAGCAGACTCGAGACACATCAGCAGGTAAGAGAGACGGGCCTCCCGAGTACGAGGAAGATTCTCAACATTGCAACGGTACTTCTTCAGATCACTTTTGCAGGATTTCGCCAAGGAGTAGCTGACTTTGTAATCCTGGGCAATCAACTTTTGCCGAGTTGTCAATGCATCCCGACACTGAAGAGGACAAGCAAGAATTCAAGTGAATTTGCCATTCGTCTTTGGTTTATATTAATTTATAACCCAATTAAAATTTTATACCAATTAAAATATAATTGTGTAAATAGTATCTGAATTAGAGAACTGCAAAATGTTCCCGGGATACAAAATGCTCCATTTCTCTAGATTCCACCAATCCAATTCTTTTGGGGACGGTCCAGCAGTTTTCTGCATGCAAATCTTCTGGAGCACGAAGTGGTTCTGAAAAACTATGAACCCCTGTTCCAAAAAATTTACACCCAGACCAACTCCAGAGTGGCTAAATCAGTATGTATCTGAAGGAAAAACAGAATATTTCCTTATTCCCCAGTACAGAACATTTTGCACACACCTAATACTAATACACCACCCCCTTCATCATTCAAAAATTATCTTGACTCTCATTAGACTGAGGGACAGAAGCATTCCAGCAGACCAGCATGGCATGCTCTTTCAACCTGCTCTGTCCAAAAATCAAGTAGGAAGTGAAGCCTTCAGCGGGAATTATGACCAACAGGGACGCCCTGGCTCAAAATATACCCTTGCTTGGGGCGGGGGGGGCTTTGTTAAATCTCTAGTGTAATGTAGTTCAATCACTCTAGGTAGGACCTGCAAGAACCCAGTTCTTACTGATGACATATGACTACTAAGATATACAATTCAGGAGAACTTCTCCCTAGGCCACAGAATACAGATAGGGCTGCCTTAATGCTGATCCCACACTACATATCCTCTCCTTTCCCTTGTCTCTCTACCCAACAAATAGGAACTCCATAGTCATGTCAGACTGGACTCAAAAAGAACTGGGTAGTTTGTGATTCAGCCTCTTAAAAGAACACAGCCACTGTCTCAGAAGGTTGCATGAACATGGTTATCGATTTAAGCCAATGTTTGTCAACCTTGGCAAGTTTAAGAAGGGTGGACTTCAACTCCCAGAATTCCCCAGCCAATTCAAGTCCACTCCTCTTAAACTTGCCAAGGTTGAGCAACACTGCTTTAAGCCATAATATGATTTATCTGAGCACAGCATGTTTATGTGAACAAAGCAACTATAGTGCATTAACCCAGTTTAGGCTGCATCACTCCAGCTAGTCATCTGGCTTGTCCTCTCTTGGGTGCACAGCTTAGAGGAAACACAATAGGTGACTGAGAAGCCAAAGCTTGGGTGGGGGGAGGGTGCAGCAACTGAAGGGCTGGATTCAGCATCAGTTCTCAGAAGGCACTCACCTTTTCACTCATAGCATCTTCAAATTTGTGGTTAAAGAGACACTTGTATACCCTGCCTTCCCCTGCTTGTGTCTGAAATAAAACAATTCATTTAGTAGGAAGTTTTGGCCAGGATATATAATTTTAAAAAACATATTTATATTGTATTCATCTTCAAAGAACTGAAGGAGAATGCATATGGTTATTCAGCACATACTGTTCCAACAAACTTACAAAGAGAGATTGAAACACAATTATTGTCAAAGGCACGTCAAATGTAACTTATAGCTTGAGCTACACTCCATTCTACCAATGCATTTTTATTCACTGCACTTCCTTGACTGCTTTTTATCACAATCCAGTATTTTCTAGTTTACAAGTCTGTTGTTATTTAGAAGGTTGCATCCTCAGCTCAATGAATCACACTGAATCAAGTTCATTATTTAGTAGTAAAAAATAATCTCCTTCAGTCAAGCTTGACTTCTGGTTGCCTTCATGGGCATGTCCAATAGTCTCCTTGGCAACAATACAGCCTTATTATACGCTTTTTCTCCTTCTTTTCCATTTTTTGTTCATTGCCAGGCTAGTCTATAGCCCTGGAACTCCCTGGAGGAATCTCATCCAAAGCCAGATCATGTCAAAGGCTTCTGAGTCCAGATAGAGTTCAGCCAGATATGCTGAAGATGGACATTTTGGCCAAAGAGGAGGAAAAAGATAAGCACCAACTTACAGTTTCACAAAAGTGTTCACGATCGTCCCGGCAGGCAAAGTAGAGGTGCCGGTCCAGGTGGAAGTCATCTGATGACAGCTCCGCCACTCGGAGAATTGCCTTCATGCAGGGCTCTGAGACTTTCACGTGATGCTCGTTGTCCTCTGCCACTTTTACCAGCCCTTTCTCCAGGCAGGCCACCACCTCCCCTTGAGAATGGGCATCCTGAATGCAGAGAAGGGTTATCCAACAGCAAAAAAAATTAGGTTTAATTTATTCAAAATGCAATACTGAACACCCCCCGTCCCAATGGTGACTTCAATTTAAGGGCATTCTCAGCCAATCAAAAGCTGGGTCTTGCCAAGAATACTTCCAGATGATATCTGCAATGGAATGGAATTATGAAGGCCACACTCACTCAGGGAGGCAAGCATCCTCTTTCGTCTCCAGAAGGGCGAGGAAGAGATAAGAGGATGAGGCTG